ACTGAAACGAAAGATTATCGTAGGAGGCGCACGCTCGCGTACGCCGATCGTCCTCGATCCCGTATAAAAATACTCTGAAAGATCTGCTGTACCGCCGAGAGAAGGGAATAAACGCGACGCAAATGATGTTTCTTCTGTTCTTTGAGAGTCGCATAAGCTTCGATTAGTTTGCGCCCGCAGTTGCACTGTTGTTCGCGAGCATTGTAAACGTTGTTGTTGTTCGACAAGCGATTATGTTTCCGAGCGCCGAGAGGATCGACGAGGATCCAGAAGTGTCGTGGGATGTTACGTTTCTTGCAATGCAGCTGATTTATTCGCACCAATGTATAAAAAAAAATACAAAACACGGCCGTGAGCTATAGCGAATCTCGGCCGGAGCATCGCTTGTGAAATTCGAATGTATCGACGCGCGAGAACGAGATCGTAACGGAGACAGCGAACAGTGATAAAGAGATACTGACTCTTATAAATATCCAGTAACATGTTCATTGCAATGCGTGAAACGTAATGATCAACCGAGTCAAGACTTATTACCGAATATCTTTGTAAAACAGAACGTTTAAAGCGATCGTGATGCCAGGCGAGGAAAAAAAGACATAAACACGCGAGAGAGAGAGAGAGAGAGAGAGAGAGAGAGATAGATAGATGATCGATTGAGATCGCTGGAAACCGTGACCGTTTATTAAACGCAGAGAGGATCAACACACCCGGACGTATTCGTTCCATGCTCGAACAAGAGAGAACAGAGAAGAATGTAGATTTATTTTTACAATAAGTAAACGATTAACATTATCATCGCTATTAATTATTATTATCGATATTAATCATAGGGAGAATCCGCGTTCACTCGTCTGTTTCGTTTAACTGCTATGCAGGCTAAGTCACGGTGAAGACGATTACTCGACGTTCTGTTCACGGTAACGCGATTAGCGCGACGCACCGATGATGTAACCGAAAAACAAAGAATAATCAGTCCCAACGGTGAAGAGTTCAAGGAAGGAGAGCAAAACGAAAGAGACAGTGCGTGTCCGAATACACATACGCAGAGTGTACCATGATTCACGATACGTTTGAGCGTCCCGTTTTGTACCGTGACTCGTCGGACACCCTGTAGACACCTTGGACGTCCGAGAGAAGCGTGATTAACGAATTCCACCGTGGAAAGAAGCACTTTGAATCCCGACTGTTCGAGGGGAAACGAAAAATGCCTTACATCTCGTATCATCGCTGTATCCGTGCGTCGGACAATCCGAGAAATCAACGTGAAACGAACCGAAGAATATAAGAAAACCGCAAAAGAGAGAGAGCGAGCGAGAGAGAGAGAGAGAGTGTATGAGTGAGGGAGAGAAAGAGAGGAACGATAGAAGAAACGCCGCGCGGAGTAGAACTTCCGGCACGCAGGACCTGTGTCTCGTTGTGATAATAAACGTCATTGTATTACTAGCCGAACGTCGGAGCTCTATTTTTCTTAACGTACCGCATGTATCATTATATAAATTCGTACGCAACACCAGCGATTTTGTACGGCGAGTTCCGAGTGTGGGAAGTGTTCTTTTCACCCGTTGCGCGAGCCAGGTAGAAACGGGACCGGAGAGAGGGGCGACTCGCGAGCAGGTAGAAAGATCGCGCGGTGTTCACCAGCAATCAATCCCTTATCGTCGATCGAACGAGTGTGATCGTGCCATAGAGCGTAACGCGTTGATCCTTGTTTTTACTCCAAACTTTACGTTGTACCTTGTATCGTTTCAACGGGAGGATCAGATCGTCTATCGAGGAATAAACGCGCGAGGATATTCGCGAAGGACGGATGCCTTGTAATATAATAATTAAAAGTACTAGCGAAGGAGGACATAGAAAACGAGTACGACGGAAGAGGAAGAAGGAGTGAAGGCTCGCGATGATTTTTCCACCGACTCTTTTCCCGCGGGTTCCACTTGATCGCGATCGGCCTTCGATCGAAATTAAACCGGAAACGCCAGGACCTTCGGGGTCCTCTAACTTTTGTATCACGTGATGTACTTTTGAAGAGACTTTACCGAGGGAAGTTGACAAGGAAGCTGACGACGTGAGAATCGGCCGGAATTGACGGGGACGCGTCGCGTCGAGGAACGAAGCGACGATTAAAAGACATTTGTATTATAAACTGTTTACGGTAGCCTGTATAAGAGCGTCGAGGATTTCGACGGACAACGGAACGACGCGAACGAGAACACTGCGCGCCGAGAATTCTAGTAACGACGAGATCCACGGTAGCTGATAATGAACGAATGGCAGTATGACTATTCTGTACTCTGCACGTTTGTGTCGTTGCATGCCTAGAAGAGACCGAGGAGCCTGTACGCTCGAGGGCAACGGTATAGTGTAGACAAACTGGACCAATGGGACCATGAAAGGATTTAACGCTAGAATCTGCCACCAGTCAGACAGACTTTATTTACCATGAATATCAGGAAACTTAATTATCCAAAATCACTTTGAAAATGAACACTGTGGTTCTAGGGCTGAATCCTGCCACAGCTTTTAGAGTATAAATATCAGGAAACTTAATTGTCCAAAATCACTTTGAAAATGAACACTGTGGTTCTAGGGCTGAATCCAGCCACAGCTTTTAGAGTATAATCTAAAAGGAGAATAACGTAGAATTCAAACTGCCTTTGGTTGCTAAACCGACACCCGTTATGGTCTTATTGGGTTTCTGGTTTTGTTGTGTTGTGCCATTGCCCTCGAGTGTAATCGTTTAATTTATTGTCTTGTTTTCGGTGATGGAACGTTGAACCACGTCAGAGCACGACCTGGAATGGAAATTTTACTTTGAAGCAGAAATTAGGGCATTTGATTTGGAGAAGGGAGAAGAAAGAAACCGTTCCATTTTAGCTCCGCGGCCGAACGTATGCTTCCAAAAATCGATGAAAGTTCTATTTCTAATTCCCCCGTTCTCCCGTTCCTTCTCTTATTTAGCCTCGTCTCATTGTAAACGTAATTGCCGTCTCTTGTTTCTGCGAGCGAACGATGGAGAGTACGTGATACTATTAACGAATAAAATTATGAATTTGCATAATAAAAATTAACGATATTAACTCCGTAACTGATAGAATCTGTATAATGTACGTGTACATACGTTTCCGTCGCATGTCTCTTTTTTAGTACAAGGGAGCAAATCGACCGATCCTTAGGAACGTTGTCGATTCGATCCATCGATGTCTCGTTTTATTTTTCCGAATAGAAATACACGCTCTGTAAATAATATATTAGCGGCGGTCGCAGTTTCGAAAAGTTTCGCTAGTTAAATCGATACGAGTTGAACGCTCTTAGCAATTTTTGATTAATCGATTCCGTCCCGCGTATTGCGGATGCATACGCGCGTTACGTTTCCCGCTTCTCGCGTGATTATTTCGTCGATCGAAAAGCTTAACGGTTAACGACGTATCATAACGGTCCCGGTTTCTCGAGACGCGTAGACGGCCGTTCCAAGCGAACCGACGCGACGTTTCCGTTAATCCTCCGCTTCTGTGAATTCGACATAATCGTCGCCTTCGACTGGCCGCGACGAGAAACGAATAAAATCGTTTAATAAGCGTCCCATTACGCAACGAACGGGACGAATACGGTGCGATTTCTATTAATACGAATATACATGTTCAACGCGTCCGTTAACGAACGAAGAGATCGTCGCGCGTCGGTACCGAACGGCCAGCGAATTTTTCGTTCTCTGATTAACGGGATCGTTTCAATGGGAAAAATAAGAAGGCGGATTCTTTCCCGTTGAATTCACTTTGAAGTGGTCGGCCAGCGTCGTTCCGGTGTACGTATGAGAGAGAGTGGAAATCGCGCAGCGCCATCTGCACGATTCGTTTAAATTCTTTGTGCATGTTCCTCCCGTAACCTCAAAGAAATACGTGACAGTTTTATCGTCGGGGAAAATTACACGGTAACAGGGAAACGTAACTTTAGTTTAAATCCCGTGGTTGTGCCACGCGAGTGTCCACGGTGTTTGATTATTTCGCGCGAGCAGAGAAGCGTCGAGAACGCTGCCCCGTCCGCTCGTGTTGGCAAAAGCAAAACACGACTGACAGAACGTTCGAAGACCGAAAATCCAGCGAACTCGTGTCGCAATATTCCAGTGCGATGACAGAACATTTTCTTCCGGCGAAATAACGAGGAAGCGCTGCTGCCGCGTGACTGGTTTGTTAGAGGGAGAAACCAGAATTGTTCCCGATCGAAAGGTTAACATTTTTTCGTCGTCCGGTTGGATCGGGTTCGACGCTTGATTCTTTGAAATTTTCGAAATTCTACTGCGTTTCTCGTTACGGGACTCGTTTAGTTTGTTTGGTATTACAATTGTAAATTGTAACTCGAAACACTGAGAACTTGCTCGCGATTTAACCGCTTCTCCGTTCACAATAAACATCTTCCTCGCGGATTCGAGATAACAGCGAGCCGAGAATGTGATAAACGGAAATTTATAATCTGAAAGGTAAGCCTGTGCGTAGCTCAATGTTATCTGTATGGTGGTAAGATAAGATTATGTTCTGGAACAGCTTTTCAATATTAAACGTACCATGATTTCACTGCAGGTGCTAGACGGATCGAAGTGAGTTTAAACTGAATCAGGGAAACTGTCGTCGCCCTCAGACAAGTTAAAGATTCTTTTTAAAGTACGCCTGACACGAAGGAAACATTGAAACACAATGGACAGCCCGATACATAGAAAGTTCTTCGCCTTCTTCTTCATTATAATCAGGGTTCCGCCGTTGTTCATAATAGATGAACTGCTTAAAATCGAATTTGGACTTTCGCAGGAAAGCATAGAGGCTGAGAGCATGATTAATCTGTCTAATTCGGCGCTACCAGTTACTCCTCCTCCGTTTCTAATCGAACTATTCGATGTTAGACACTATGTCTATAAAGTATGTTTGCCATTCCTATTGAAAATTTTATGCTGCACTATAGGTAAGACATTTATATGTTAAATGGATCATGATCTGTTAGAAAAAGTAATTGAAAGAACATTCAATGGTAGAATGATTGTGTGTTTAAAGAAGTAGGGTTAATTGTCTGGGGTCATTGCATATAGGTAGAAGGGGGAACCTTGTGTTACGTGACTGAAGCATTCATAATACGTCAATCACTATATTTCAAATTGATGCACACTTGTATTCTTTCAATAACGCATGCTAATATTGTAAACTGAAAAACATCTTAGCTTTAATGAACGATCTCACTTAATAATTTTACTTTCTGCAGGATCCATTGCTGCATTATGTACATTCATGCTATGGACAAAGTACTTAATAATCGTGTACCTGTATTTAATATCAGTTGGGGTAATAGTTTTATCCCACTGGTCGCATACCAGTACAATGAAAGCTATCATAGCATACGTGACTACTCACGAGTCCGCTACTAGTATACTGGACGACATTTTGTCTTTTAACTTAGTCATATTGAACGAAGGACCAGTGTTTGCCATAATACAAAATTACGTACTGCAATGCGTACTAGCCAGTATATTCTGCTACACTCATCTAGCCCCGAATCATCCGATACTACAAATACTGCTAATACTGACGTTCGTGGCACCATCCATCCTAGGAATCTATCCTTTACCAGTAAGTCAACTCGAACGCGTCTGTTCAACACGATCCACCAAATCATTTGCACTCCATTCTAAAATTTCAATTCTCCCCACCTAGATACAAGTGCTTCATCACGCCCCGGTATTCGCGGCGCTGCTTCCCATGGCGGTGTGCAACTTCGTCCTTTGGTACAACAGCATCACCATACTGAAGACAATCTACATGGGCTACCAACACGCGCGCAACCTCATCAACAATTACGGCCTGTCCGCGTTGGCCGAGACCGAGTGGATCCGACTGAAGGTTCCCTGCGTGTTGCGCACCTTTTGGATGCTGCGCGCGGCCCGGCAGATCATTCAAATCGTCGCGACCGACTACAGCGAGGAAACCTTCACATACTTCATGATGATCAAAAGCCTGCTGGTGAACGGCTGCGAGACATTGACAGCGGTCCTGGGGATGACCAGCATAATCTCGTTCATTTGCCACTACATCGGCTGCTTCTTCCAATGGGTGTTGCTCACGGAGGACGAGGGTGAAAACAGTATAGGCACCGTGTCCGCGATTCTGTTCTACATCCTGGCCCTTCAGACCGGACTGACCAGCTTGGACAAGGACAAACGTCTGGTCAGACTGTGCCGCAACGCCTGCCTGCTGGTGACCGCGATGCTGCACTTCGTGCACAACATCGTGAACCCGTTGCTGATGTCCCTGAGCGCCTCTCACAATCCCGCGCTGCACCGGCACGTCAGAGCGCTGGCGGTCTGCGCGTTTCTGATACTGTTCCCGGTATCATTACAGGTGTACCTCTGCTCGCACTTCACGCTGAGCACGTGGCTGCTGGCCGCGTCGGTGTTCAACATAGAGCTGATCGTGAAAGTGCTGGTCTCGTTAGCGATCTACCTGTTGTTCCTGATCGACGCGTACCGAAGCGTGTTCTGGGAGCAGCTGGACGACTTCGTCTACATCATACGGTCGTTCGGCAACACCGTCGAGTTCGCGTGCGGCATCATACTGTTCTTCAACGGCTTCTGGATCCTGGTCTTCGAGTCCGGCGGCGCGATCCGCGCGGTCATGATGTGCATCCACGCCTACCTGAACATCTGGTGCGAGGCGAAGGCCGGCTGGAGCGTGTTCATGAAGCGGCGGACGGCCGTGAACAAGATCAACTCCCTGCCCGAGGCGAAGGCCGAGCAGCTGCGCAGGCTGGACGACGTCTGCGCGATCTGCTACCAGGAGATGCACAGCGCGAAGATCACCCGGTGCAACCACTACTTCCACGGCGTCTGCCTGCGCAAGTGGCTGTACGTGCAGGACCGTTGCCCCCTCTGCCACGACATACTGTACAAAGTGGAGAACATGCAGAGCAACAAGGAGAACAACGAGGCCATCGCGGAACAGTCGGAGAACGCGAGATTAAACAACGGCGAGGGGAACCCGAGATTGAACAACGGCGAGGAGAACGCTCTCCGCCAGCAGGTCGACGAGAGCAGGTGAAAAGGCCGCGTACCTCGATTGTGATATACGTCTCTGTCTTGCAGAGAGAAGGACTATCGCGAACCTTTACGAACGCTTAAATCGCGAGTCATCGATCTCCGTGAAGTCTTGCCGGGAAAGATTTCGCTTCGTTTCTCCTCTTTCTCTCTCTCTCTCTCTCTTTCTCGTGCCGCTCCAGCGAGAGCGCCGCCGGGACGAACACACGGTATATACACTTTATTATTAATATTTAATAACGATATTTAATGTAAATTTACTACGGACCGCCGAACAACAATTGTAACCCGTTATGTTACGACTCTTCCGTTTTCAATTTGTACAAACAAACAAACAAACACACACACAGACAGAATACACACGTGTCGTATTTGCGTCTTCGGTTTTAGAGCTCACCAAATAATCCACTTCTACAGCGTAACCGCGCGCCGAATATTTTTGCAAGCGAGTTTTACACTTAAGCTTCCATTGTGCAATATGCTCTGACCTTCCATTTACGAGCGAAGCTTGCGCGACTCTTTCCATTAGGATTAACCGAGGTCCTTGACTGCGAGTACCGGACGATTTTATCTAATCGGTGCGTCTCACCGTGCGAAATAGTTTAATTTAACCGGTTAACCGGCCGACTTTTCTACCGTGAACAGGAGCACACAAGGGAAGAACTCCGAAACGACTATCGTCTCTCGCGATGAAATTCAAGTGTGAATCAGAAAGAAGGAAGAAGAAAAACGATACTCCCCGTCGGAGGACGCGATCGTTTCGCCGGTTAACGGGTTAAGACCTCCAGTAAGACTGTGTCTGGCGAGACGCGATTCCATGCGGCTGCGATCATTGGTTTTTCATTGATGGCGAGGCGCAGATCATGTAACGGGCGTCGTTTTTTATTTATGGTTTGCCGCGGGGGAGCGGAGTATCGCGGCTCATCGTTTCATTAACGCTTCGTCTACCGGAAAACCTATGTCCTTAGGTTCCTCGATGATTCGCGCTGTAACGAATTGCAACGGACCACGTTACTAACGTTACTCTAACGTTCAAACTACCAAACGAGTCGAATTGTCTCGTTGCTCGATCATCGAACGAATTGTTTTATCAACTCTTTACGATACGAAGTTTCGATCGAGATCTTAATCGCCGTCGTTTGTATACGAAGGTACAAACTAGTTAATCGGGTTGTCCGGCGGTGTCAACAGTCTCGAAGTACGTTATTAGATTACGATCATCCTCGACGATCTTGTCGCGGCGCGATAGCAATCCGGATCGTCTATCGCGCAATCCGTCGAGTCCCCGGTCGTTGATTATCGATTTCCAGTGGACCGTCGAACGAGCATCGGTAGGCGAAGCGTTAACTCCGTTCGTGACTTCCGCCGGCATTCTCGCTCCTCGCGTGTCGGGTTCACAGGCCATTGTGATAATTAGTTCGTTAATTGTACGCGGAAATCACGCGAGTCTTCTTATACTATAATTTATTGCGCCCCCGGGAGCCGTGTCACGATCCACTCGCGCGTGATCGGGGAACGGTGACCGTATATTAAAACGTTTCACATGTACGACCGAGAGTATGTCCAATAAATGTTATATTTTTAAAGCGTCGTCGCTGAAAACGTGGGGGGGCAGGTGGAGGTGGGTGGAAGAAAAAGAGAATAAAGGAAACCAACGAAACGAGAGGAGGGGAAAAGAGAAACACGCTCGCGCGCTCCGTCGCTCGCGGAATGCGCGCGTAATTAGAGCACGGCTCGGACGTGGGTGATGCAACTGGGTGAAGGTTGTATTATCGTTACGCGGTCGCGGCGGCCGAATAATTTTCGATTATCATTTATCGTTGAACGTTCGCTCCGATCGTTGTTCGTTCGGTTTCTCGTTCGTTCGCGCGTTCGACGCGTTGACCGGTGGTCGCCGGTAATCGGGACGGCTAAATTGCCAGGAACCAGTTGCAGGACGACGTCGAATTAACGTGTTCACTGACACGAGTTACTAAATAATACTTTGCTTCGTTTTACACTAAATTTTAACATAAATTTTTTCATTGTCATTCATAATTTAACCCTTTAAAATGCTGGTCTCATGCAGCGATGTCGAGCAAACGAGTCCCTAGAATCCACGCCGCTTGAACGAAAAGTCTGTCAGTCCCCAGGGACTGACGTAGCACTCAACGTGTTAATTGATCCAATTGTTGAAAGACGTTCTAGATCACCGAGGGCTATTAGTTACGTCGAGCCCCGAACACCTGGGAGAACTCGATGATAAAAGAAGGAGAACGCGGGATGCAGAGGCGCGAACGATACAGCGAATTTTCCGTTTCCCCTGGGATTTTTCGATAACGGGGGCCACGGTAGCCCCAGCTCCTCAGGTGCTTACCTACACAACACCTCGCACACTTTCCCCTACCTCCCACCGTTCACCGTCACGACTCTCTTTCGCCGTTGCAGCTGCAGATCGCACACCGCCGCTCGATCCTCGAAACTCTGATCCACCGCTGATCCCAGTCTAGCGCGCACCGTCGTCGAGCGAGGGTGTTGCCCGATCCGTTGACACCCTTCAACGCGGTACCACACGGACCACCAGCCTCCGGGAGCAACAGGTAAGCCACCAGTCTCCGATCTGGAGCAGTTTCTTCGGCTTTTCGTGTCGTTGCCATTAGACCTGCCGATCTTCGCGCAGGTTCCGACTTTTAACACGTTGACTGCCACGAGAATTTCGAACGTTTTGTAAAATTAATTCGTTTATAATGGAGGAAAGTAGTATTAGAAATAATTATTGTTTTGGTATTACAAAACACATTGTCATCCAGCTTCTCGTGTTACTAAGTATTTTGATTATCAGTCTTTATTGTAATTGTTTTCAAGCAATTTGGAAGCGTTGTAAAATTCGTTTATAATGGAGGAAAATAGTATTAGAAATAATTATCAATGTTTTGGTATTACAAAACACATAACATTGTCATCTAGCTTCTGGTGTTACTAAGTATTTTGATTGGATATCAGTGTTTATTGTAATTATTTTCGAGCAATTTGGAAGCGTCGGTCACCAGTGACCACCATGGCAGTCAACGTGTTAAGAATGCAAAATTCTTGACAATGAATACTGTAACTATTGCGTTTGTTTTACGTACCTTCGAGTAACGCGAGAATTCAAGAGCGCATGCGAGATTAGATTTCCGTGAGAAATTCGAAATTAAAGGGAATTCAAGTCCATAAGTGCGCGTGGTCTGCTCGTTACCGAGGGCCACTAAGGACAATTATCTCGGGGCGAGCGTTCCTTCCGCTGGCGAACGACGAAGTTATGCCGCCGCGTGCATACGAAATTGCGACACTAGCCTGAAGCAATCTGCGAGCTTGTCGTGGAAACATGTTCGATATTAATTCGCGTTTCCCTCCGCGAGTCGCGTACCGGGGTTTCAATTACGCGTAGTTTCACTTGTTCGATGCTTTCTCGAGGTATCTTGATTATAATCGAAAAGGAATCGAGCGTGGTTCGGAACCATCTGGTCACGCTAGTTCATTTTTCTGCGCAGCGGCGGGTTTCGCGATCTAACGACCACCGATAACGCGAGGGAAACGTTTCGACGGACGCGACGTCGGACGAACGAAAGTCCCACGAAATATCGCTCGGAGGACGCTAATTAAGTCGGATCGATAATCTCGTTAATCGCGTTAACGAGGCCGCCGTACCTGCTCGGGCAGATAACAGGACAATAATGATATTCAAACAATGGCTGATTAGCGCGAACACGCGAACGCGTTGTTTCGCAAGATCGCCGCTCGCGATTCTTTTGTTCCTCTTTTCCCGTTCCGCGGCGCGACGAAGATCGAACGCGTATATCTCGAGCGTTGCGCTGCGGTTTTCGCGGCTGATCGAGTGGCGAGAGTCAAGGATTGTTGTGATCGCCGACGCGGATCATTCTGTTTGAATCTCGCGACTCTTTCGACGTTTCGTTGTCGTTTTCCTTCACTGTCTCATGAATACAGTATTACAGACTCTTAATACAGACTTTTTTTCACTGTTTCTTTTGTCGTGCACTGTGACAATGGTGCAGGCAATGCACATGTATACAACGTATAAACATAAGACAATGGGGTGGGGAATGCCAGAGAGACAAAAGTGCGAACACCGAGAAACGATCAGTCCGAAAAAGTCACGGGAGTACGCTAGATTTTAACATAAATTTTTTAATTGTCATTCATAATTTAACCCTTTAAAATGCCGGTCTCGTGCAGCGATGTCGACCAAACGAGAAGTTCGCTGTCAGTCCCCAGGGACTGACGTAGCAATCAACGTGTTAATCAGATCTCGTCGGATCGACATTTCTCAGGCCGCGGAGCCGGAGAGATCTGCTTGCTTCCCAGCGCGGGAACGAGACAATACGTTCCGACGGATCACCGTTAGTCCGGCTCTTGTTTCCGCGCAGCGGGAACGCGGCGCGCGCCGCGGGATTGTGGGAACCCCCGGCAAAAGTAAAAGTAAAGGAACAACGGCGGTCGGTGCGTTTCGCAAGTCGGAAATTCGTGCGGAGCCTCGCCTGACGTAACTCTCGCCGTTGAACTTAACTCGACGGGCGACCGTTCGCCGACACGTGTCCGCTTTACGACATTCGCGAGAAAAATATTCTCGAGTGCAAACGGTTAATACAGCAACCTGCTGAATATTTAAAAAGCAACTGCACTCTGTATTCATCATTTAACGCTGGAACCACCGATCAAACTGACTTCTCGAAGTTCCAAGATGTCCACTGAGATTTCAATAGATATAGTCTGCTTCTAAATCAATTTCTCTAGCAATTATTCAGAGCAGCAATTATCCCAATAATCACAGAAAGAGGAAATCAATTTTCTTCGCCTCGTCTCATGGATCTAGCGTGAGATCTCGAAATCTCAGATGCCCTAGACATCTCCGACGCTCGCGTTTCAAATGTTATTCAGCTAATTAGCCGCGAAAATCGAAATGTTTCTTCAATGGGAGTTCGAGGAAGCCTCGAACCGCAAGATAAAACCGGAAACGCTTCGAGTTTATCGAATATAAGAGGGCCCGTTGTTCGCGCGCGTTTCTTCCGCGTCCCGACGATCCCACGACCCGTAATCGGCCGGCGGATCTCCGGCGAGTTAATTAGAAACTTCTGGCCGGATCGTTCCTTGGCCCCGAGCACCAGGAAACTCTCCTCTCTCTTCCTCTCTTTCCCTGTACACTCTTAGAAACCGTAATCGATCGGTTCGCGCGCGCTTTTCGTCTCCAGTTTCTTCCGCTCGGGTTTCATTTAATTGCTCGCGATCGCCTCGGAGGAACCAAAGAACCACGCGCGCGTGCACGATCGGTTTTATCGGTCGAACGCGTTTGCGTCCGCTGTCACGTACGCGTACAAGGGATCGCTGAGTTCTAACATCGTTTCTTCAACGTGAATTGTGCACGGCTCGATTTTTCCCTGGAATTTCACGTCGAACGGGTGAAACCACCCCTTGGAATGCAACTTTTCTTAGCCACGGATTATCTGATAGCGAGAGATAACTAGAAAAGGTTTCAACGAGAAGTACATTATCGTTTCAAGTCCATAGAATTGCGAAATAGAATTTGGTAAACGTTTATTGAACAAAATTGCTGAATTCTAACAGCATCGTTTCTTCGTCGTGAATCGCAGGGCCCGATTTTTCCCTGGAATTTCACGTCGAACGGGTGAAACCACCCCTTGAAATACTTTTCTTAGCCACGGATTATCTAATAGCGAGAGATATAGTCATCTCCAGTAGATATAGTTATCCAAACTTATCGCAGAAAGTTGAATAAGTACCAATTTTCCACGCGACAGAGATCACACGAAAGTACTCTCAACGTTGCATCTAAATTTATCGCGGAAAATTGAATAAGTACCAATTTTCCACGCGAAAGTACTCTCAACTAAATTCTCAAGCTCTCAACTAAAGATTACAAAACAACCTAGAGTGCTAAGGGTTAATACGACATCTACAGATAGAATCATGGGAAATTTAAGTACCAATTTTCCACGCCACAGAGATCACGCGAAAGTACTCTCAACGTTGCATCAAAACTTATCACAGAAAATTAAATAAGTACCAATTTTCCACGCGAGAGAAACGTCACCGAAGAACTCTGAATACCGCATCTCGAATAAATTCAACCGCACCGCGAAGAGCTCGGTGAATACCGATAGTTCCCACGCGAGAGGGGCAGAAGCGCGGAATTCCCGCAGAAACCTCTCGACATCATCGGAACAAGGACTCGGAGACGTCGCCAGTTTTCATGGGAAACAAGAGAAGACGCCAGTCACGGGGACACGCGATTCGGTGAATTTCCATCGCGAATGGACGTTAATTGGCAAGGTCGGTCCGGCCGTCCCGCGATCGTGTTACGAGCAGGAAAGCTTATTACGCTTTCGCCGCTCGATAACGAGCGGCGAGCCGGTCCCGCGATCCCCTCGATCGGCAGCGAAACGCGCGTCGCTCGGCGATTTCAGGGAAAACTCCGAGGAAATTTTCGAACGAGTCGGTCGGTCGATCGATCGGGGATCGTGGGAAAAAAAGCCGAGGCTCCCCGCGGGCCCCGGCAAGGCGACCGACTTTAACGGCCGCAAAAAAGGTAATAACGAAACTCCTCGGACGATTTAAAACGGAGGGGCAAAGTAATTGCTTCGCGTTCTCGCTCGCGAGACGTTGCCCTCCTCTTTCTTCCCTGTCCGCCTTTCTTCGCGGGCCGCCGCTTTAACCCTTTTAGTGCCGGGCGAAAAAGAGGCGCCTATGCGAGAATAACCGGCCGAATTTCACGGTTTCACTAGGCTTTGGGAAAACGCTCGTAAAAACCAAACGAGAAACAATGTTTACATGATTCGAGAAGCAGTGTATTAAGGACGAGACAGAGAAAACAATGACACTAGTTTTTCTAGATTCATTGAAAATTATATAAATGACAAAGGTATAAAGGATCATAAAGAAAGTAGAAGTTGAGTTCTCTCTTACAAAACGTATTTGCACATGCAAAAAGTCATCTTATCATCATAATTTTATATAGACCATTACAAAGTATATACTTTGCGTTTCCAATATATTTTGTAACAAGATAAGTAATATTACATAATAAAAATAAAAAATAATTGGAAGGTAAGCGCCGGACGTATCTCTTCCGAAATACATAATTGTTATAGGTAATGTAACATCGCTGAAACAAAACTATTTTCTTTAATTCTCTCGTAATGAAATTAGACCATTTATAACGTGGTATGAATTTATTTTGAGACAGAGTTCTCCTGCAATGCGAATAGTAAAGCACTGGCACTTCTCGCCAGTGCATCAAGAGCCGATATATCGGCCTCCGGCGCTGAAAGGGTTAAGCCGCGTTCACGAGGCGTGTAGCTTCATGGGGAACAAAGACCGTCGGAGAATCAATGTAACTTGAATAATGGATGGTACAGAAACGGGTACAGGTATCAGAGATGGCAGATGAAAGGAAGTAATGATATTAATCACAGACGTAGGATCGCGGAGCGATCCCTAATGACGCGGACGTATAAACAGAAGAGATTAATTAGCACGCTACGCTAGCGATAGAAATTAACCCTTAGCAGTCCTATTCTATTTTATTGCCACCTCTACCTGTTTTAACAATTTTTTCTATATTTATTTGTAGTATAATTGTATCATTTAAAGGTGACATTTCAATGACTCCCAAATATTCTTGGATAAGTAAATAGAGCGTCGTATTGAGCTGTAATTGTCGTAGGAACCGAGTCACAAAAATCCCTCGCGGAAAATATGAAAGTCCACGGAAACATTGAATCGATTTGATCAACGAGATTAAGATTGATTGAGACTGATCGATCGAAAGGCGAGGACAACCGATGTTCCCAGTGGAACACGGAAATGGGGGTGCGAACCAGCGATGCACCGCGTCGCAGTGGTTTTTCTTTGCCGCGTGCCGCAACACGCATCGCGGAAGCTATTTACGGCGAGCTTCTCTCTCGGCGAACACGTGCGCGAATCGCGATCGGTTAGAGCATCATCGTTCGTCCGTCTCGCGATTCTCAAGCGGCCACTGTGCCAGACGACTCGCGCGGAGCGGAATTAAATGATACAGTGGCACTTCGAAGTCGCGATTGAACGCGAAA